GACTGCTGGACTTCAGAAACATGATGACCACTCATAAAAAAGGTCCACATGCTCTTCTGGAGATATGGTTAAGGTGAGCAAGTCAGGGATCATACCTGGGAATGTGGGAAGGCATGACAACACTGAGTCCTGGATGACAGCAACTATTGCTAACAACGTCTGCACTGTGGGTCTCATTCTTCCATGATCCTATGGTGCTGGGGATGTGGCTCAGTGCTAGAACACTTCCCTAGATGTAGGACACTCTGGGTCCTCAGCATGGGGGTGCAGAAATTCTCTCTTTGTCATCTCTGAACCTGCCTCGGACCTAGCCCTTCTGGACTTCTTGGATATGCGTACCCTCTGTACGTTCTTTGAGGGATATCTGGTGATGTCTGCCCTGTCCTGTTCCTGGTGAGCCGGAAGCCCAAGCACGGAGCCTTCTTCCCCTGCTGTGCTGAGATCTCCAGATGAGGCAGAACTGAGGCTGTCTGCACAGCCTTCCAGTGGCAGTGGGAATCCTTGCCTCTGTTTTAGGAGGGAACACAGGTGTCAGGACTACATGATTCTTCCCGTGTCAGGTTCAAGGGCTCCCACACATCACACAAACCCTTTTCCCTGCTGCAGCAGCTCCCTCATCAACCCCTCCCAATAGAGGAACTTTCCAAGGATTCCTGGCCTCCAGTGGGCTCCACCCACCCCATAAAATTTATCCCTTTCCCTCCCTTTTGAGATCATTACACACCACATCCTTTCTGCTGGCTTGCCCAGTCCTTAGAGCCATGGGTGTCCTATTTCCTAGTGTGTGTGTCTCTCTACTACAAAAGTCCCCCACACCCAGGTCTTTCACACCAACAGGGGACTTGGCACAAACTTGTAGCAGCCTAAAGATGGTAACTAGGGCTAGCTGTGCAGCCTCTTTCTCTGGGGACCAGCGAGACCCCAGAGACCCCACTTCTACAGCAGGGAGACCACAGAGGGTGTCCATGGAGACACTGTGGGGACCAGAGCACCTTGAATCATCCAAGTGGGAAAGAACTGACTGTCGAACCATAAGGGAAATGACAGACAAAGCAGAGACTACAAGCACCGGGAAAGGCTCTGCTGCCCAGAGACATAACAAAGGGAAATAAATAGCCAGATAGTTAGTAACCATGGATACCTGTGGGAAAGAGGCTGAGATGCATTGCTTCCTGGAGCTGGTTGGTTTGGCCCCAGAAAGTGGGTGTATGTCCGTGTCTGTCTTCTTCACCTAGATACACGAGACAGAGCTGCCATAATTCCCATCCACCACACGCTGAACAGACACCAGGTGAGGCCTAGAGGGCACAAGCCTGCCACCCACTGCTCTGCCTCCTCTCCTTGACAATCCCCTGTCTTCTGCAGCCTCAGATTCCACACAAAGCCTGACATAGAATAGGGCCTCAGTGCCAGGTTGTGGGACACCCCAACCCCTTGGCTCCTCGTATCTGAGAAGGCAGCCTTTGTCTCCACTCTACTTTAATAGCAGCACCCCAGAGCCAGCTTTACTGACCGGGCCCCAAGGACAGGCTTAGGCCCCTGCCCTCCTCCATCTCTTTGTTTCCTCCATTTCCCAGTGGAGTGGGCACCCACACCAGACTCCTCCCCTCTAGGATCCCCGGTCATGTCAGAAGAATCCTGTCATCTAGGTTGAGCAGCTTGGTGATCCCAGTGAGAGTGAGTCTCTCTCATCCTTCAGAAGATCCACCTCACCAACCACAGCTTGACATTCCGGTCTCTTGTCACAGAGTGTAGACATAAAATGGGTCCACACCCTCTTCTAGGGCTGTGCTGAAGATGAGCAAGTGGGGGAACTAAAAACTATGTCCAACTTACTGAGGAGTCTTCTGGCTGGATTTGAGCAGGACCCAGGACTCAGGAGGGTGGGTGCCATCCCTGGTTGTGTCTGTGAAAACCTGACAAAGGTCAGAATTCAAAGGGAAAGGGAAAGCCGCCTCCATGAGCAGCTCAGATCCACCTGAGACCCCAGACTCAGGTCCTGAGCCCCACATCCACCCACATTCTTGTTCACCCTCTCAGAGGACCAACCTCAGAATGTCTTCCTAGGTTCTTCTATGCACACCCATGTTGTTTTATGTACTTCATGGTCTTTAAGATAGAAAATCTGCCTCTTCAGGCCAAGGGATTTTCCAGAGATCACTCTCTACAGCTCCTGGGTTCTGATCAGCCCATCCTCTCCCTAAGGACCCCAGTCACTGCTCAGGCCTCACGTGGTCCTGGGCTCTGGAGTGGATGGTGCTGACAGTGTCTGCTGAAGTTGGTGAGCACAGCGCTTGGAATGTGTAATTTACATAGAGCCTCCTGCATTGCTTTGTCCTAGAATATCCCAGCATCCTCTATGGCAGGGTCCTCTACCTCATGTCTTACACTCATGGCATCTTTGATGCACGGACCAAAGTCCTCTGCTCTATCAGAAACCTTCAGCTGGAAGGCTGTGGGACATCTCTGCTTTGTTACAGAGAAAGGGACTGAGAGGACCTGGACACCAGGTGCCAGGTCTCTTGGGGCCTGTTTCATCATAGGCAAATGTCGCTGGGGCTGGATGGCCATGTCCTCACAGCTTGAGGTAGGAGAACAGGTGGCTACTCAGGACACATACACTACAGCTTGCAACACATTTTATTCACCATTTGGAGTTTTATAATCATTCCTTAAGATATCAATCTTATCTCACATTTTCAAATCACTGTGTAAGTATCACATGTTCTATGTGACTATGCTGTGATTTTGCAGAGGGGAGACTAGTTTGAGGAACAAGCTTTCATTCCACATCTCAGAGCCTGAGCCCAGAGTCGAGCCAAGATGGAGCCTATGAGACTCATGTGAACATGCTTTCAGGTAAAATGTTATTTGTGGCCAATAAAAAGATCTTTTTCTTACTCTTGATTCCTCCTCTTTCATCAGCATGACTCTAGCCTGGAATAGAAAAACATAGCGAGATACAGGACCATGTAAATGTCCCCTGAGTCACAGGCCAATCATGGTGCAGATCCCTGGATCATAGAGAGGAATGGGCTGGAACATTCACAAAAATCTAACAGTCAGGATGGGGTTACAGATTCTTACAACAGGGGTCAAGACACCCCCATCCCTCCTTCTCTAACTCCAAGGACACAAGCAGAGTCCATGCCACACAGAGTTCTGGGAATCTGCTAGGGAACTGCTCAGCATAAGTGGTGATATCTCAAGAACATCATGCAAATATCTGCCACTTGAGAGTTGATGAATCTGCCAATGGCTTTGGTCAAAGGAAATGTCAACCAATGGGAATGTGATCCCAATCCAATGGCTGCTCTTCTAATTTTGCTTCAAGTTACTATTAGCTTTACCAACTGGAGGGTGGAGGGGTCAGCACCAAGGACCAGGCCACCATGGTCACTTCATCATATCTAACCATCCTAGAGAAGAGGCGTGGCTAAGCTGGACGTCTGAGGGACCATGAGAGACAATATCTCGAAGAGCTGCAAATCACAGGGAAGGAAACTGCATGCTGTGCTGACAGTCATTCTGAACCAGTCCAGATCATCAGTAGAAGAGAAATCCTCAGACTGTGAAAGGTTCTAAAAATTTGTTTCTTATTCTTGTGTCTCTGAGTTGAATCATGACACTTGAGATCCATGAGATTGTTGCCCAGAGGCAAATGGAAGTCAGGAGACCAATGCCTAGAGGAAGCAGTGGGCCAACATTAGACAGGCTCAATGTGTTAGATCCAGCTTGGCCTGACTACAGCCATGTGAGTCTAAGCATCAAGAGTGGCCATGAGAAACTCTAAGCTGCTGCCCCTACATGGCCTGTCATTGCAGTGGCATGTGGGCTTTCAAGGGGACTGCAGGGCTGTCTGAGTTAGAGACACACCTAGCGTCCTTGATGTTAGCTGAGGCCAGAGCTGTCACTAATGAATGTCACCAGTATCTTGTTTACCATACAGAACTCCTCCCTCTGAGGCCTGTATCATCCCACCAGGCTTTCATCTTCCCTCTGCTTGGCATTGAGCATAGTTCTCCACCAATGATAACAGCATATTATCTTGACCCTGCTCTTTTCTTTGTTCCGTGCCATCTTCTTCTGATGTAATTGACTGCTTTATACTCAGATTTTCTCGACCAGGAGGTTAATATTTACTGAGCACAAATCTATAAATATAAGAGTACAAGAGCCCATTGATCTGAGATACCATCTTGTCCTGGACACCTCCCCCCAGAGTGAGAAGAAACTGAGGGTCACCAACTGGGTCTCTTGTCACAAACTGCAAACTTCATCCCCAAACCATAAGTTGCTTGAATCCCCATGCAAATCTACCTTGATTCTCTATGTCCAAACCCACCATTGAAACATCACAGCACACAGACATTCACTTTGATGTCATTGGTCTCTCAGGTGACCATGTCCCCTTGGAGGCCTGGCTCCTTGTCAAGAAATTGAACAACTTTGTTATCACCACCGCCATATTAACATCATCTTCATCACCGTTATCATCATCAACGCTATTACTGTTGAAAGGTCACTGCCTGGAGGACACATGGGTGAGCTGATCCTATGCTGCTGAGAGGAATAATCCAGAGGTCATAAGGATACTTCCCTCGGGGGAGAGGATATTGGCCACCATTGTGGCTTCTCCATATATAGAATTCTAACTCTGACTTTCTCCCATTATCCACTCTCCAGGTTTCCTGCCTTCTCATTACTTGTTCTTGTGTAACCCTCCCTACTCACACCTACCATGTTTAAGTCCCACTGCCTACTCTTTAGGTTGGAAAGACTGGGGTCCCTTATTTAGACTCCAATTTCTGTCTTCTATTGAGTCACTGGCTGTCTGCATTGATCTCGCTGTGCCCAGTCACAGAAATACAAACTCTTCAATGCTCAGTTCCAAAGACTTTATTTCTAGTGCTTTCCCTTGTAAAAGATACCTCCACCCTTCCCACCCCACCCCCAATTGATGCCATCTTTCCTGCAGTTTTAGCTTCTTGGAGGAGGTCTCACTGAGGTAGGTCTTACTGCAGAGCCTTGTGAATCTGCTCAAATTCCTGCAACTTTCTCTCCAGCATGAGAGCCAGTTTCCTCAGCTCTGCAGCCGACTCTGTCGTTGCCCCATTGTACAAATCTATTGAATCTGTCACGAGGTGATACACATCCAATGCAAGGAAGAGACTGGTAACGCTTATTCCTTTAATACTCGCTCTTAAGACTTTCCCCACCTTCGTTGAATTCTTTGTGGCCTCTACCAGTGGGCGATGATCTGCACTAGCAATCTTGACGGCCCTGATTTGTTCCTTGAGGGTTTTACAGGCACTGATTAAATCCACACCCACATTATAAAGTTTGACTCTGATCTTAGGCATGATTTTCATAATCTCATGCAGTATATCCATGCTGGCTCCAACCAGACGACTGGCTTCAGATTCATCTGACAGTCTGTTAGACTCTTCCACAATGGTGGTGGTGAGGCTAGCCATACCTGCTAACACCCCTAAGGATGCTGCTGACAGCATCAGGCTGGTTCCTCCTGTAATGGGTGTCAGAACTAGACCTAGGATGCCCAGAATTCCAGAGACAGTGCTGGTGGAGCCAGACACCACATTGGAGATGGTGCAGTCACTGTGAACTTTATCAAGATGGTCAGCCAGGGAGCGAAGTTTCTGGATGTTTTCATCAAGTTTTATTTTCAACTGAGGAAATTCTTTCAAAAACCTCTTCTTCAGTTCTTCTTGAGATTCATCATTTCCATCTGTGGGATTCTGAGCTAAATGCTCCTTCAGCGCATCATGCAGGACAGCTTCCTCCTCGCTGTGACAGAAGAGGAAAAGAGTATGAGGGAAACAGGCTTTGTTTAAAAAACCTAAACCCTTGTTCAAAATGTACTCTCAGACTACAAGCCCAATAGGAAATGAGTTTACAGAGTCCACAATTGTGCTATCTGCCATGAATCTTGGGTACATTCTATGTACCCATGGTCTTTAGTCTATACTGATACAGGTCAGTGTAAAGTTGAACCATGGCACTGTAGGGAGAGACTCTTTTTAAAACGTCTCCACTCAAGGTCTGTGTCTCCACTACGTGTGGGGACCGTGTAGATGAGCACAGGGAAGTATTTCTCTTTAACTCAGAGAAATACTCTTCAATTCAGTGTATTATGAGGGATTCCCGTTTCTGAGGAGCATCTGCTCTCAGATGCTGGGAAGTCATCTGCAGCTCATGCAGTACTCAGCCTGCAGGAATGCCTGTGGTGGCCTGGGGAGTTCTGCAAGTGGATTCCTTGATCTCTAAGGCTCCCTAACCTGAGTAGTCAAAAGCACCAATCTGTCCCTCATAGAGCAACAAACAGTGATGGCACAAATGCTTTAGAAGCTCTGCATAAAACTCCTCCATCTCCTGTAAAACATTAGGGTCAATTCAGGTCTCCTCTGTAAGAAACTTTACTAAATGTCTGCAAAAGTTTCAAAGTTGGGAAACGCAGGATCTGAGACACATCTGTTCCCAAGAATTTACTATAAAAATGCTCAAACTGAAAGATGTGGGATGTAGTGGGAACTTTGGAGCCATATCTGATTCCCAGAGGCACTGGAACCCAAAGGCATTGGCCTTAGGAAGATTCCGATGAAGCCTGTGTCACTAGAATTGATCTTTTATTGATGTTCATGTAAGGGATCTGTGGTCCTGTCCTCCTGACATGTGTCTGTAAGTCCCCAGCTCTTTGTGTACAAAATGGCTCTGTCTCTGGCCCCTAGGGCAACAGTCCTGAGCAATGTTCTCCTGTGTGTAGGACCCTGCTTCAGGATGAAGATTCTATCCTATGATAGGCTTCCTGGTGTGCAGTGGTCATGTGATTTCCTGGTGCACAGTGATCATGTGACTTTTCACACACTAGATGCAAGACAAAACTGTTTCCTGAGGACAAGTAGCTTCTGGGTTGAAGGTGTCTCTGATGTGACTTCTGGATGTTTTCATTGCTCAATTTAAACCTCTCACATATAGGATTTTTATCACAGTTACAGTTGACCATGGAACACAGAGGTTTACTGTAACTGTGATAAAAATCCTACATGTGAGTTCTAAGGGTCATTCTAGATGATTCCCAATCCCATGGTTGGTTTGACATAGTCCTTCATCAATAGCTGGTGTAAAAAGGAAGTAAGGCTCCCTGGGACCCTTTCTTCAAACTTTGACATTTACCTATCTCTGAGAATTTTGCATATCATCATAGAACCTTCATCTGGCGATGGATGGAGATAGAGACAGAGACCCACATTGAAACACTGAACTTAACTCCCTAGGTCCAAATGAGAAGCAGAAGGAGGAAGCACGTGAGCAAGGAAGTCAGGATCAGAGAGAACCTTCATCCGACAATGGATGGAGATAGAGACAGAGACCCACAATGGAGCACTGGACTGAGCCCCCAAGGTCCAAATGAGGAGCAGAAGGAGGGAGAACATGAACAAGAAGGTCAGTACTGCGAAGGGTGCATTCACCCACTGATACAAGGGGACTGATCTAATGAGGGTTCATGAAAGTTCACCAAGGCCAGCTGGACTGGGACTGAATGAGCATGTGATCAAACCGGATTCTCTGAATGTGGCTGACATGGGGGCTGAGAAGCCATTGATAATGGCACTGGGACTTGTTTCGTCTGCATGTACTGGCTTTTTGGGATCCTAGTCTGTTTGGATTCTCACCTTCCTAGACCTGGATGGAGAGGGGAGGAACTTGAACTTCCCACAGGGTAGGAAACCCTGACTGCTCTTAGGACTGGAGAGGGAGGAGGAGAGGGAGTGGGGGGAGTGGGAGGGTATTGGGAGGAGGGGCGGAGGTGGAAATTTTTATAAATTAATAAAAAAACAAAACAAAACAAAGCAAACAAAAAACCCTCAGACCCTAAGAGGCCTCCCAGATCATTTGGACTGCAGCCTGTTCTACAGATGCCCACAGCCCTTTCCCTCTATGACTGGAGCTCAAAAAGCAGTAGCTGAGAGCCTAAGAGATGCCACTAACATAGGCTCCATGCCAACTCCCAGCCCTCACTCACTCCAGACTCACCACCTGGCAGGTCTAGTACCAGGGTGCTGAAGACAGAGGCCACCAAGCTACCAGACACCACAGCTGGTGACAGTGTCACATTTTAACAAAGCAAGGTCCCCAAAGATGTTAGGATCCTGAAGACAATCCATAATAATCAGTCGTCTGGAAATCCCCCGAATTTGGACAAGGCTACAGGGGAAGTAGTTTCCTCTAGGGTGGGGACATGGGGTAGCCTCAGGCTCTGGAGTTATGCACACCATGCTCAAACCGAACCAACTTTGCCCTCTTTCTATAGCCACATAGCCTTCCTGATATTCTGGGAGTTTTGCAGAGGGAAAGAGAGTCCCAAATGCCACCTGAGAACTTGGCAGCAAAGATAGAGTGTGAAGGGCACACCCAAGGAGAGCCCTGCACACCCATAGACCATGCAGTCAGAGAAGTGGGGAGACACATGGCCCTTCTTTCTCTTACATGTCCTCTGCTACGCCTCTTCTCTGTGCCTTCATTTCCCCTCTGTCCTTCTAGCCCTGCTGTGCTAGATTCTACCTGCACCTCTGTTCTAGGGCCACTCATACTCCTGAGCCCTGGCTATATCCCTGGTCCTGGTTTATCTTGGCTTTAGGAAGGATGGTGGCACTTGGTTTTCTTTCCCTGCCCTGTAGCTCCTCCCAGGCTGTCACCCCGCTCTGTGAAGCTGCACTGTGGGCTTGCTGCCCCCTCAAACCACAAAAGGATCCTGATGTTGTTACCTCTCCTCACGTGGAAGGATATTGACTGAGTCAGAGACATGGGTTGATCATGTCTACACTTTTCTGACTTGTCTCAAAGTAAGTTCTTGGGTCCTCAGTCCTACAGGAGACCCCTGGATTTGATGCCTCCCTACTTTCACACTTGGCTTTCAAAGCTAACTTTCAGGGTTACCCACTGTGTACTGCTCACATGCTAAGAACTCCACACACATGATCTTATTTTTTTATGCTACAGTTTCATTGTCGTGAAAACGGGGAAGTAGTAACTTATTTGCCAAGGTGGTGCAAATATTAGGTGGCAGGAATGGTCCTGGCTTCCTGGGCAACATCTGCAGCCAACCAGAGGTGATTCCCACCATAGAATAACATGATGGAAACACTTCTCTTGAATGATTGAGAAGGAATGTCCATAACCCTAACCCCTGGGACTGCCTAAGGTGGGTTTGCCCAACCAGGGAAAAAGTCTCAATCCCATGGTCTGGTGAGCGTGCTTGGTGCACCATGCAGGCTACCTTGACAACTCTGCTGCCTCCACAAACACCTTCCAGGCTTCATCTTCAGTTATCAGGCGCTTCAGATCCTCTCTGCAGAGAGCGTCTGTGAGGTAATCAGTGAGTTCTTCCATGATGCGTCTTGCCACTATTCATCAAGAGAAAGAATGAGCTCAGAAGACAGTGTGGAAGAGATTATATGGCAAGTAGCAGGAGGTGGCGAGATGCAGTGATCCCAAACATTTGGTCTAAGGGTCCTAATGGGGTCTCCAGGGTTAGAGGTTCAATGATGTCCCTCAAATCCATATGTAAAAGGTCTTAGACTTAGCAACTGTGTTTAGAGACAGAAATTTTAAGAAAGTAAATTAATGAAGACCATATGATGCCATACATATAAGGTGGTACTGTTGTCCTTATGACAATGAGAAATCAGAGGTCTACTCTATCATCTATCAATCACTTCATTATCTATCATATGTATACATGTGTCTCTGTGTCCACCTCTCTTTCCATCCATTTATTACCCTGACCCTGCTCTACACATTCTGAGGAGACACTTGAGCAGATATAGTGACCCTGCTCCCTCTGCATAATAGAAAGTTATGCAGGACCAACTTGACATATGTTCTTCACAGACTTTGGCTTCCTTCTGAGAGAAACTACAGGCCTTTTTTGAACCTCCTTCTTCCCTTCCATTCACCATGAGCCTCTTGTAAATGCTGTGGTACCAGTGCCTTCAAATATGACCTTCAAGTCTTTAGTGGGTTCTCCATTAGCTCATCATATCAATAGTAGAATTTTCAAGATAGGATTAGCATCAGTGCATATGGAACATGGGAGGATCTATGTCTTTGACACCATGAGAAGGAATTTATGACCACTTTTCTCTTTCATATTCTGTGTCTCCAAATCCAGGATCTCATAGATAGACAGTACTTTCAGGTTTGGCTGCCAGCATGGGATGGGCCTTTGTCACATTCAACCACACCAACAGTAGTTGAATATATTGAAGCAATTGCTATCTAGAAACAAGAAAGCGCTGGGCTTTATTCTTCATAAGTTTAAGCTTAACTGACTGAGTTTTTTGCCCAAATTGCACCATTTCATTGTTCCACTGCAGAGCAGGAGGCTCCCCTCAGTTTGCCCAATCTCCTTGACAGTAACAACCATGTGGTGACATTGCGCTTCCTAGTGCTCTTATTCTCACCAATGAAAATGCCATTTATTTATATATGCATATGTGTGTATATGTGTGTGTATTTATATTTGTATCTATTTACATACATATATATTTATAGAAACACAGCAAAAATTTACTATGTAAACTACATACAGAGACCAGATAAAAAGACACATACAGACACCAACACTGACACACATACACACACGCACACACACACACACACTCTCTCTCTCCCAGTCCCTCACACACAGAGTAATATAGAGGGGGAGAGAGAGGAGAAAATGCAGAGTGAGGGAGTGGGGAGCGAGAGGAGAGAGAAGCAGAGAGAAATAGGAGAGAGAGGAAAGAAAAAGAGAGAAGAGAAAAAGAGAAGGAGGAGAAAAAGAGAGAGAGGAGAGGAAAAAGAGAGAGGGTGGACAGGGGATATAAGAGGAAAGGAGAGGAGAGGGAGGGGGATAATGGAGAGAAAAAAAGAGAGAAGGAGTAGAGAAGAGAGGGGAGGGAGGGAGAGAGAGAGAGAGAGAGAGAGAGAGAGAGAGAGAGGAGATAAGGGGAAAGGGGAGAGAAAGAGAGAAAGAGAGAGGAGAAAGACAGAGAGGGGAGAGACAGAGAAAGACAGGGAGGGATGGAGGGAGAAAAGACACTGTCAGGCTCATCACAGTATGAGCTAACTCTACTGAGCCATCTTTTCTATTGGTCATTTTTTGTGCTGAGATAAAACTCCATGACAGGAGCACGTTACTGAAGATTCATTTGGTTTCCAGCTCCACAGGTGTAGATGTCCGGAGTGACAGCAAAGGGACAGAACCAGATGCTGGAACCTGAGAGAGACCACTTCTCAACTTCACCTTAGAGGCATAGAATGTACTGGAAGGGAGGAAGACTATGGACTCCATTTTATGGCTGTATATACCATTGGTCTGCCTGAAACTCACTGTGTAAATCAGTCTGGTCTCAAACTCACAGAGACCTACCTGCCTCACCTTCTCAAGTGCAGGGATTAAAGCATGCACACCGCAGTCAGCTGTGCTATAAACCTTTATAAATAAGAACCCGCACAGGGGGATGGACTTTCTCCAGCAAGGCTCCATGTCCTAAGACTTCCATAACCTCTCCAAATAGCAGCACCAACTGGAGACCAAGGGTTCAAGTACATGGGTGTCTTGTTTATACTGCTCAGTAAAGACAGTACACTTATAGACACAACGATCACACATAGGTGGACCACTAAGACCAAAAGGATCTGAAAAAGGTACAAGAAAAAGGTACAACATTGTACTCTCAGGGGACTGTGGTGAGCTGGAAGCATCCAGTGAAGAGTAAATTGCCTACCTTCAGATGCCATGAGGTCTTCTGGGTTCTCAGACACAGTCACAGGATTTCTGACAGGTATTCACGTGTCTGGGCAGGAGGGAGGACAGAAACACAAAATCTGTAAGGTGCAATGGGGAGGGCTGCAGTAAAGAAGGATGAGAGGGGCCAGAGTTCCAGTGATTCTGCCAAAGTGGAGGTGAAGGACCAAAGGACTGAAAGCCAAAGGGCTTCTCCAGTGGGCCCTGCACTGATGTTCACATATGTCAGCCAGCTGGTCTATCCTCAGCCTTCATCATTCCCAAGTCAGAGAACTTCTGTCCTGTTAGTGTCATGGAGAATGTCACCAGCTAGGGACAGCCATGAAGAAAAACATAGTATCTGTATTATTTTTATATATTTGTGTATAAATATATATATATGTATTATATTTGTATATGTATATAAGCAAACACACACACATACACACACACATATATATGATTTACACACAAGAGTGAGGGGAATAGATGGTCTACAAACTACTTGCTGGGAACTTACAAATTGGTGATAATAGCAAGTATGTACTGTATGTCTGTGACACACAGGGCTCCTGGCACACACCTCATTAGGAGATTAGCATGAGATGAGGACTGCTGTGAGACCCATTTTAAAGTGGGGAAGACCATAAAGGTTTGTTGACACTCCCAAGCTATCACAGTAGGGCTAGACTAGACACTTTACCGCAAGATGTTTTCACTGGCACCCCACCTTTAGATGTGAGTCCCTATTCCCTTAAACACACAGCAGTGTCTTCTCTCCTTCCTGTGTGACTGTGAGGGGCTTCTCACCCACATCAGGATCTGTGCCCTGTGACAGGGGTTAAATTCACAGGTGCCACAGTGTTCTTCCAGAGCCCATACCCTCCTTGTTCTGCAGGTGCTGCATCCCACCAAGGCTGGAGCCTTGTCAGACACTGCCCTGTTCCTGCTCTCACCCATCCAGTCCTCTGCCCTCTCCCTAAATGTTCAACCTTATTAATTTTCTAGCCATCAGGTGAATAGCAGTAAATGAACATTCTCTTGAAAAGCCTTCTGCAGTGGGTCATTTGCTGTAAGACAAGTCTAGAAGCAAAATGACCGGATCACAGAGGATCAACATTTGACTTTTTCAGAATCTGAGGCTCATTGTTGGGTAAATAATGTGTGAGAATCCACATTCACATGGGCAGTGCACAGGGTGGGCATTTCCCCTAGACTTACTAGTGCCCAGGAGCCTTAAATAAGCATCAGATTGCTATTGCTTGTTTTACTCTTCTTTCTCTTTTGGAGTTTTGGAGGACCCACCACCCAACTCCCAGAAGAATCACAAATGGAGTCCTATTCTTTCTTATAAATGCCTGGCTTAGCTTGGCTATTTCTAACCAGCTTTTCTTAAATTAAAATATCCCGACTACCTTTTGCCTCTAGGCTTTTTCCTTTTCTTACTTCTGCAAATCTTCCACTCTTACTCTGTGGCTGGCTGGGAGGCTGTTCCGCGGCGTCCTCCTCCCCTTGTTCTTTCTTGCTCCTTCTTGTTCCTCCCAGATCTTTCCTCTTACTTATTCTCTCTCCCTGCCAGCCCTGCCTATCATTTCTCCTCCCTTGCTATTGGCGTATCAGCTCTTTATTACATCATCAGGCATTTTAACAGGCAAAGAACCATGCTTTCACTGAGTCAAACAAATACAGCGTAAACAAAAGCAACACAATATTACATCATTAAACAAATGCTCCAGAGCATAAGCAAATACAACACACCTTAAATACTATTCTTCAACAGCAACTCTGACTGCACATGAGGTAATATCAGCACTACAAAGACTGAGTGAGGGTGGGTGCTGATAGTTTAAGGTCAGTTGAGGTTTCACAGGCAGAACCAAGTTAGTTAGAACTAAGAACAATTGGCTTTGAAGTCTGGGCCTAGGGCTGCAGTTCTGTGGTAGGCCCTGAGTGCAATCCCTAGTGGACAAGCAAATGGACAAGCTAACCAGTTCATGTGCAGAACTTCACGTTCTCTTGTGCTCACATTGCCTTCAGAGATGGGGAAAGTGAGTGAGTGTGCTCAGATTGCATGTCAGGCAGCAGAGGGGCAGTGATCAGCTCCCAGCTGCAGGGAGTGAGGGTGTGTGCAGTGACAGCTGCAGGGAGTGAGGGTGTGTGCAGTGACAGCTGCAGGGAGTGAGGGTGTGTGCAGTGACAGCTGGAGGTGGCGGGGCTCTTATACTCCGAACCCTGGCTACTCTAAGGATAACACACATTGTTCTTCCAATGATGTTTAAACTGTGAGCCACTTTTCACTTACTTGCTCACTTACTTGGCTGACCAACATGCACATCCCCTTGAAGCCCCTTCTCTGCTTTCTGATCAGTGACATGTCCACTCTGATTTTCCACCTTCTCTCCGTAATTTTGTCAACTGAGGGAGCAGCGTCTCTTGTGCCCTCTCTACTGCTGCACAGACTTGTAGCAGCCATAGTTGGAGAACAGCCTCTGGAGTTCAGTGGCCTGACAATCCTAGTTCCTTCTATCAGAAGATTAAAACCGAGACAGAGAAGGGTGACAAACCCCACGTCACACAGCACTCAGAGCAGAGAGGCGAGGGAAACAACAGCTCTGACTCTGAACCGAAGAGAAATCCTGTGGATTTAACACTCTGGGTCCCTCTGTTCCATTAGTGCCCACTCTACTGCTCAATCTGCCCCTAGTGTTAGGTAAGGCTGGGGTGCCATGATCTTGGGACTCTGCACTGAGCCCACTCTCAGTCTCCTTTCCTGGGTCCCTTTCACACCTGCACACACAGGACAGCCTTGCCTTCACCCTCCGTACCCCACAGGCTAGACAGAGGGCAGGCAAGGATGAGTGAGTATAACCTCTCACCCACCTGTTTGGCTTCCATCCAGGTACTCTAGACAAGTCACTCTCTGCTATGCCTCAGTTTCTCCACAGGGCCTGACATCGCATAGTCAACAAAGACCACATGTGCCAGCACCCCTTAGTCATCCTGTATATCTTAATCAAAACCTGCTGTTGGTTCTCATTGGTTCATCAACAACACCCCAAAGCCATCTTTGGGTGTCCATGAACACATTTGGATGGGCTCTGTGTCCCATGCCAACTCCAATTCCTTTTTCTGTTTTGTAGCTATCCAAAGTGACTGAACACTGACAAAGGCTGCCTTTCCTCTAGGGTCCCATGATCATATTATATTTCAGACAGAGCTACAAGCAGGGGCAGGCCCCAGGCAGTGTGGTGATCCCTTCTTAGGGATACCACACTTTCCCCTATGTTGAGGGCAGAAGAGGAGGAAAGAGCAGACAGACCCCATTCTGGCTCCATGTTTGCCCCTGCTGCTGCTAAGCCTGGAACTTGAGTCATTCTCTCACCTAGCTCAACTTACCCATAAAATGGGGTCATAACCCTCCTTGTCCAGAGCCACTGAGAAGATGAACATGCATGTTGGGGGGATGGTGTGTTCTAAAACTCACCAAGGAATCTTCCCATGGCCAAGTTTGGATGGGTCCCATCTGTCCTTAGATGTGTGGATCCAGTCACCAGATGAACATCTGAGACACAGACAGACACAAACTCTGAGCCTAATATACCCAGTGCCGGAGAGTGACAAACTTTGTTTTGTGGCCAATGATGATGAAACTGTACCCTCCAGGCCTGATGTTAGTAAGTCACTGCCCTACTGATGATGGCCCACTGACAGGAGCTGATACTCCCACAGCAGCTCTGGCTTGGGCGAGACACAACTAGAATCAAGAATGATGGTCATGGGTGAGGCTTGAGGTCAACTTCAATTTGTAATGGAAAGGGCTACAGCTCTTGTTGGAACATCATCAGAGTGCTAGCTCGCCAAGGGTGGGACCTGGCTTTCCGCTGATGTGTGAAGAGGGCAAAACTGAGTGTAGGGTAATATGTCAGTGAAAGATGGCCCCGCTTCTGGCCTGTTCCCCATCTGGAGACTTAGAATTCCCTACAACTTGTAAATCCCCACCCCTGTGACTCAGTGGGAATGGACAATGTTGCCTATTGCCCGATACTTCTGGCCACATGGTCCTTTCCAATGGCTCAGTGCAAGGCTCTAGTAGCACATTGGGCATGCTGCAGAAATCCTATAAAAACCCACCTACAGCTCGCCCTCTGCTGTCTCTTCCCATTCAGAGGCAGCTGCAGTTTGTGCCTTTCTCCACAATAACTCTCGTGTGTTAGTTTTTTTTTGTGTGACTTTGTGGGATTTGTTGGCCCCAGACTGCCAGGATATCCATGAGCCAGAAAAAAAACCCCTTACACTGGTGACTTTGCACACTTGTGGGCACATTTCACGAATGTCTATCTCTGCTCCTTCTGATGATGGGCCAGGTTCCAGAGGGAGCAGTAAGTCTAAGCATAGAGGAATTATAAGGCTAGCTTAGCAGTGCTGGGAGGAGAGGGTGGCATGGGAGCTTCTGGAGACACAAAATGGAAGGCAGTCAAGGGTCTTAAGTATCTTAAGATACTTAAGATGGAGAAGGGACATTGCTTCCTTGTCTGTTCTGAACTCAGGCTTCATGGGTGTGCAGATCTGTGCAGGGGTGCCTCCACACGCTGTGTGAGGAGTTCTCATGCAGATCTGTGCAGGGGTGCCTCCACACACTGTGCGAGGAGTTCTCAGATGACATTAGGGATTCTATTCTATTCTACACTTAGATCCCTGAATATCAAGAAGGACGTGTGACTAGAGACACTTTCCAAAGCCAGAGTGGTTGAAGGATGATTTGAATAACTCGATTGCCTGAGGTTTTGTCCCCATCCCATAGGATTCTTCCCTTACTACCTGGTCCAATTTGAGGGGACGTCAGGAATACAGATTATGACTTATCTTTGCATGTGGCCTTGCTATATGAAAATGTGACATTGCCACCAGCTATGGGGTTTGTGATCATGCTGACCTCAGTCATGGTGGGTCAGAAGTAAGTGAGGGGTGGAAGCCAGCACAAAGCCAGGGTTAGTGGTGCCTCTCCTGTTCTTAGCGGTCAGCCTTTGTGTTTCATCGAGGGAAGTAACAGGCTGTGGGCATCTATAGAGAGCAGGCAGCAGGCAAAATTATCTGTAGTCTCTATTAGGGCTCTGAAGGGTTTTTGTTTTTATCTTCATTATAAGGTGTGAGAGAGAGCCAAGCAGCAATGTCTGGGGCAATGATCTTTATTAGCTGTTTTTTTTTTTAAATCATTGCTTGCCTGCTTGTTTGTTTTTTCAAGACAGGGTTTCTCTGTACAGTCCTGGCTGTCCTGGAAGTTTCTCTGTAGGCAAGGCGAGCCTCAAACTCACAGAGATCCACCTGCCTTTGCCTCCTAAGGGCTGGGATAAAAGGTGTGTGCCTTCACTGCCTGGCACCTGTATCATTTTGATACTATCTATCTTAGGGTTTATATTGCTTTTATGAACACTATGACCAAAAGAAACTTGCAGAGGAAGGGGTTCAGTTTGCTTATACTTTTATATCATGGTCATCATTGAAGAAAGTCAGGGCAAGAACTCAAACAGGTTTGGAACCAGGCAGCAGGAGCTGATCCTGAAATCACAAAGAACTGTTGCTTTCTCGCTTGTTTCCCATCCTGTGCTCAGCCTGCTTTCTTATGGCAGCCATGGAAGCACCACCCACAAGGTTCAGGACCTCCAACACCAACCACTAACCAAGGAAATGCACTTGCCTAAGGCCTGATCTTCTGAAGCCTTTTCTCGATTGTTCTTCCTTCTTCTCAGATACCTCTAGCTTGTATCAAGTTAACATAAAAGTAGCCAAGGTAGATACCAACTGTAAGCTATCAACTACTCTAAACCAATCCCGGGACTAAGAATTTTCAAGAAGGAGCCACTCATGGAAGATGGTTACCACATAGTTCTAGTTAACCACAGAGCAAGGGCACATGTTAAAAGCAGCCAAGGAAGAGATCCACGTGCAGGTCCTGGGTGGGCTCCAAGCTTGAAGTTTCACATTGTCCTCAGGATGCAGTATGATCCTGTATTTAGTGTGACAAATCACATGACTGCTGCACAGCAGAAAGCCCACCTATTTATTGTGAAGCTTGCTCAAACTGTCCACTAGGAACCATTGCCCTAGGAAACAGAGATAGATCCACTCTGCATATATAGCAACCTGGGGACTTATAGGTACCTGGCATTGAGCACAGGGGACAACACATCACTGTCATGGACACCTACAACAGATCAGTTCCAGTGACACAGTACTCATGGCAATATTCACAGTGATACCTCAAATTCTTCCTTCCTCCAGAACGTCAACACCTTTCCTATCCAGAAGGCTCTGAGGGTCAGAAATGACCAAAGTTCCTACCATACCCCTTCTTTGCAGACATATAATGGCATATCTTGCAAATAAGGCCCAAGTGTAGTCTTGAGACCCACACTAAAGTATGTTGACACTATGTAAAATTGGGATAATTTTACCTAATCATTTTTTACTGTATGGAAACTGTAACCTGTGTCATGAGGGTGGCTTTAGAACTTACCTCTGTGGAGTCAGATCAATGCTGATTTGATCACACAGACAATGTGGTGATCCCATCTGAGGGATTGCACACACTGTTCTGGGATCAGGGCTGGAGAGGAGAGAGCAACAGGCAGACCCCATTCTGAATGCAAGTCCAGCCATGCTGATGCTGGGCCACTGTCTCACCTTGCTGAGCTCGTCCATAAAGTGGGGCCATAGCCCCCTCTTCCAGAGCCCTTGAAATCCAGTCACCAGCTGCATGTCTTAGACACAGTCAGACACAATCCCTGGGCCTGATACACCCCATGCCTGAAAGAGAAGAGGAAAGGGCTGGTTTGGGGTCCCGCACAAGCAAACAACCCACCAGTCATGATTCCTGCCAGGCACCCCCTTTACTGATGACCCATGGACAGGAGCTGAGACTGCCAAAAGCAGCCCTGCCCTGGGTGACACACCAATAGAGTCAAGAATTAAGGTCACGAATGAAAGAATAGAGGATACCATTCTGACTGAGCTGTAGAATACAGTTCGCTTACCAAAGGAGGGACCTGGCTTATCAGTGATTTCTGGGAAAGGGAAACTGGGTGGACGGCAATGGATCAGTGAAAGATTACTACCCCCGGGCCTGTTCCTGAGAAGGAGACCTGGAAATCCCCACTGAAAGACCCTTCAACACACACTCTTTGCAGACATGTAATGGCATATTTTGCAATAGAGACACAGGTGAGGCTTTGAAACCCATGTGTGCTGACACCATATACAGACAGACGGAGGAAATGTCACACGACCATTTTAGTTTGTATGTGAACTTTAACCTGTGCTAAGAGGGTGGCTTCAAAACTCACCTCTGTGGTGTCAAATCAATGCTGAGACATCTTCAGATTTGAGAGTCTTTCTGATTTAAGATGTTCAAATGCTGGATGATCAATGCATGTGGTCTCATGACTGGGCTTCCCTGGCAAACACAGGCAATCCTGCAAACTGGATACTTAGGGGCTGCAGATGACTTCCCAGATGCTGAGGGAGAAGGGAGACTCTCTGGAAAGGGGAAACCCTCACAACTCACAAATGCTTCCTGAGTTCAGAGTATTTGCTCTGATCCTACATCCCTGTGCCTATCGTCAAAGTCACCAGTGGACAAATATTTTTGTAGTGATGACACTGAGTGAAGTCACCATAGCCTCCTAACCCTTCTTTATACACTTCATACACTGACCCCAGTGAACATCTCTATTGTGTTATTTTTAGCATTGTAGAATGTAAAACCCTAGACTTCTGCGAAGTTATTTATTTAAAATTTTTAAATTAGAAATAGATTGTTCTTTCATGCACTATTCCCTGGCCACAGTTCCCCCACCCTACTCCTCCAAGCTTCTGCAACACCTTCCTTCTCCTCTAGATCCACCACCCCATCATATTCCTTCCGAAAAGAGCAGGCCTTCATAGATACCAGTCAAACAAACACAGCAAGATACAATAAGGCAAAGAACAACCCCTCACTGTGAGGCTGGATGAGGTACCCCAGTAGGAAGATTTGGGTACAAAGAGCACACAAAAGCGTCAGAGACACTCCCACTGTTAAGAGTTCCACAAGAACATCAAGTGAACAATTCTCACATATATGGAGAGGATCTGGTCCAAACCCTTGCAATCTCCGGGCTTGCTGCTTCATTCTCTATAAGCCCATACAAGCCCTGCTTAGTTGATTTGGTGAGCCATATTCTCTCTGAGTTTCCTTGATCCCCTCTGGTTCCTACCATCATTCCTCCCCCTCTTTCATGGGGTTCTCTAAGCTCCAAGTTGACCAAATGGAGACCTCCAACTTATACTCTGTCTCCCAAAAATGACTGGCTGTGTGTCTCTACAACTGCTTCCATATGATGCCAAAGAAAGGCTCTCTGAGAATGATTGGGCAAGGCACTGATCTCTGAGGATAGCAGAATACCATTAGGAATGATTTCATTGTTTCTTCATTATCATCATTTAGTATTTGTCGGTTGTGTTTGATTCTTCCCTAGGACTCTGGGATATTCAGTCTCCACCCTGGCTATCCAGGCAGTATCACTATGGGCTCCTTCTTGTGGTGTAGGTCTCAAGTTAAATGGTCATTGATTAGTCACTCCCACAACTTCTGTGCTATCATTGTCACATGGATGTCCTTGGACTTAGCCAGCCCCCATCCAGCTTCTCAGGGTAAGACAGCAGGTGATACTGGATCTTCATACAGCTGTCACCAACTCATTTACTTTACAGATTGATTGGAGCTTTAGAATCACTTCTTAAAAACTAAACATTTGTGCCTTATCAAATCAGCATCTTATCGTTGTTGATAATGGGTGGATGGGCTGTGATTTTTTTCCAGGTGAGAATAGGTGTGGTGAGAGGTAATGACTTTTACACCACACTTCAGGGACTCAAGCCAAGATCCACATTCAGTCAGTAGATGTTTATGACCATACTTTTGTTTAAAGTTTTTGTTTTGTTTTATTATTCTTTCTGTAGCATTTCTTGTTCTCAATTCTTTTCTTTTTATCTGCATAACTTTATCTTGGATTTAGAGGACACCACACTGAGATGCAGAACCATGAAAAGGTCCACAAAAATTGTTGGGCTGGCCATGATGGAGACCCACTGAACAGGGCACAGAGTGAACTGGAACTCCAGGATCAGCAGGGTCATGGGAAACTTCCCATCTCAGGAGAAACAGTATGTGTGCAGTTATCAAATGCCTGTTATGAGGACACAGAGTGAAAGTGAAGGAAAATGACTTACAGAGCTGTGCATTCATTAAATGACATTTCCACTGATTTCAGGCAACTGCTTATGTTCAATTGAAACTGAAGATATGAAAGCAAGTTATGAGAGCTTTGAGGAGAGCTCATCAGAATGGAGAGCCCATACCATGAAAAGTTTGGTCTTTATGTAATTTAATATAAAAAAGCCATGGGAAAGTGAGGAGTCACTTAAAGCTGTATCTGAAGTATAACAGGAAAATAAGAGGGAAGACACTCAGGAGAGAAACTGTCTGTCAGCAGAGGGGATGTTTCCTTCACAGGTGGATAGGAAGGCTGTTTCAGAGGACAGCGAAAGTGAGGAAAACCAGGACACTGGAGATGACTCTCCTTCATCTTCATCAGATGAAATAGATGTAGAAATTAGAAAGGCTGAGAGGCTGACTTCATGATAAAAATACAAGAGCTCTTGAGACAGAGAGAGAGAGAGAGAGAGAGAGAGAGAGAGAGAGAGAGAGAGAGAAAGGGGAAAATGAAATTACCCAGTGGAGAAAAGGGGAAGAAAAGAAATCAAAAAGGAAATCTTCCCAATAGAGAAGATGGAACGAAAGGAAATAGAACTTTCTCACTAGAAAAGAAGAAATGTTTAATCAAGAAAAAGGTATTTTCCTAGTAAAAAGGAGAAAAATATTGAAGCAAGGTCTAAAAATTAGAAGGCTCTTTCCAATATAAGAAATTGGGGATAGTAAAGAATCAGAACTCTCTCTGGTTGCTATCTGCCTGTCAGCGCAGGGCTGCAACATCTGATTACAAAGAAGCAAGAGGTGGGTGTGCTTGGCAAGTCCAGAGCTTAGAATTTTGTTGTGTTTGCTTAAATTTTGTTAAAACTTTGTTGTTATAGTTTTTCTCTCAGAGTGGTGGATAAATCAATATTAAAAGGTCCTTTTGGAGGTAATGTTTTTTATTTTCCTCTTATAGTGGAAGTAATTCATTATCAATGATCCCTTAGTAAGAGAAAGAGGAAGTTTCTAGTAAGAATAATTATGGTCAGAGCATAAAATATTGTCAATGCTATTTGAATTGCCAAACATATTAACCATTCATTGTATAGACGGTGTTCTCTTTTTCAAATTAATGTTTAAATGAATGTTAATTTTCATAGTAAGTGAACCAAAAGAGCAAAATTCATGATCTTAAACTATATTTTTTGTATATGGTCTTGCCTATTTATCATTGCTAAGCATTTGGCTCTGTTCTTTAGGTTGCTTTCTAAAAATTCATAGTTAAATGGTATAAAACTGTAACACCTGAAACAGATTGGGCTGTTAGGTTATTAGATGATGTGACTACTAAGGTGAAAGCTCATAAAAAGTAATCTTTTACTGATAAAAAGCTTATGGAATTGTTTCTACATGAATGAAATACAGTCAAATTGCTTGCTTCACACTATTAATAACTGACAAGTTGGGTTAACTTGTTAGTTGGGACCTATAAAAAAAAGGATCCACTTTTCAAGATCTTATAAAACGCTCCATGAATATTGCCTTGTTATCTCTTAAAATCCTCTGGAAATTTTCTTGAATGCTTTTATACATGGTTTATGTATAAAATATCATGCAGATGGAAGCTGGTGAGAAAGTTGCTCAGCTGTTGTTGCTCCTGAATCTTAAAGGTAAAATGTCTCCAATTATAGGATGGAAAATTTAAAAAATACTGGGGAAAAGGTGTTTTGGCAAACTGTTATTAATGATGAGAGGCCAAAGCTAAAATTGCAAGCAAATGGAGTTGAGATTCGGGCCTAGTAAAAACTAAAGTCTCCATAATTCTTCAAAATCCTAGAATCCCAATTGGCCTTGGCTAGAGGTCTCCACTCAGCTTTTAGACATAGAAATCTTGTCTCAGGTGGAGCAAAATGTGAAGTGTATTAAATGTATAGAAACTGAATGACAGGAATGGATGTTAAAGCCTATATGGGTAACACAATGCCCCCTAACTAAAGACAATTGCAGGTACTTGAAAAACTAATAAAAGAACAGTTAGACGCTAAGCATAACAAGGAAACTACTAACCCTTGGAATTCTCCTCTATTTGTAATAAAAAAGAATCTGGAAAATGGAGAACAGAACAGTCACTGAGCTAAGACCTATTAAAAAGATAATTCAACCTCTGGGATCTTTATAGCCTGGGATTCCTTTACAAGAACATGATAGATAAAAATTTGTCTTTCCAGTGCCTATTTATCATAATGCCTAGCCTGTTAAGAGAAATCAATAAAAGTACTTCCTTAAAAAGTTGCTAAACAGCCCAGCTTTGTGTGAATATTTTATAAATCAACCACTGGAAGTGGTATGTAAACATTTTCCTCAGTCTATTATTTATTACTATATAAACTATATTTTATTGGCTGCTTCTGAAACATATACCTTAGAAAAATGTTTAATGTGCTATAAAAATATTTACCCAGGTGGGGATTACAAATTTCTCC